TGGCCAGGCTGCTGGCTACAATGATCACAATTCCCTTGTTGAAACAGCTTCACTGGCTAGAAGTCCATTTCCAAGCAGAATTCAAATAGTTGGCTATGACCTTTAACGTCGCGTACAGTTTAACCCTTAAATATCTGAAAAACTATGCCTCCCTGTATGAATCTGCCTGAGATTTGAGATCTAAAGGAGAGAGTTTTCTCTCAGTATCAACACCATTGCAAGAGATAGCACTCTTGGCACCTCCTCCTAAGCTGTATTTTGTTTTAATTTGCTGTAAGCTGCCTTGAGGCCTGTGCTGAGAGAAAAGTGGGGTGTAAATTAGGTACATTCATAATTTTTGGAAGCTAAACTGCAGCTAAACTTAAAGAAAAATGGGGAGTTTGAAGATGGTTGGCAGGTAGCATCAAGAAGTTTGGGAACTCCGACCTTATGATCTCTGGCTCTATTATCCCAGTGTTTGAAATAGAAATAAACAGGCATACATGTAAATTAACTTAATATATTAGGAATTAGTTCCTGAATAATATACATTTTTAAATTTAATACATCCAAATTTGGTATTTTTATGAGCATGCCTAATTCCATGTAACACATTTTAAGGGCCTAAGGTAACTCATTGTAAAGGGTGATAAAATTAAATTTGCATATTTGTATATTCAATTATATATTTTTGGAGCGAAAATAAGTGTTTCTCCATAGAGTCACATCTTTTTTTTTTTAAACTCCATCTCTAGCTCTGCCATGTCCCTTCAAGGTCATATTTTCATACATATTTGCAAAAAAACCTGGGTGCACAGAAATTCAACATGCACCTGTCTGATTTTCATGCACATTTGCTAGAACTTGGAGGGAGAAAAAACATATGCTTCCCTGCTGGCAAACTGCTCACTGTAAAACCTGTTCCAAGCATTTCAACTATATCTTCTTAGTTCACAAACATCTGCAGTCCTGATTCTCCAAAAGTCACTCAGGGAAATGGAAAGAGATAATGTTGCTTCCATTCTGCTTAATATAATAGAAAATTTGACCGGCAGAATTTGTTTCTTTGTCACCTTGCTGCATTGCTGCATATGTGTTCCCAAAGTCCTCCACTCTTTCTTCTTCCCACTATTTATACCTCAAAGTCTGTAACACACATCACTGCCTTAATCAATGCTCCATTAGGAGCCCCATTGTTTTACAGATATCTAACCAAATCTTTTAAAATTCCATTTAAGAGACTGTCCTTTGCCGCTGGATACAAACATTTCTCTCTTATGCTGAAGAGACTAAAACATACAATGAAGTCAAAATGGGGAATTAAAACCATGATAAAATTGGCCAAAGGAATTCCTTGTATGGCAAGGAGGACAACTTTGGTGGAATTGGGGACCAATTTCAGCAAGTACCAACTGGAAGTAGAGAAAGCCAGCACTGGTTGCTCAAAGGTTTTCATAGTAAAATAAGGTATGCAGCAAATGCACCATTGTATTAGAGGAGACTCATACCTGCTTCTAGATCAGTGATTCTCAACCTGTGGGTCCCCAGATGTTTTGGCCTTCAACTCCCAGAGATTCTAACAGCTGGTAAACTGGCTGGTATTTCTGGGAGCTGTGGGCCAAAACACCTGGGGACCCAAAGGTTGAGAACAATTGATCTAGATGATCTAACAAACCGCATCACCTTATACAAGCCTGTCTTGGCCCTTCAATTAGCAGAGGAGGTCCTGCTCTCGGTCCCATCCCTGTTCCAAGCATGGCTGGTGGGAACGAAAGAGGGTGCCTTCTGGGTGGTTGCTCCCTGCCTGTAGAATGCCCTCCCCAACGAGATCAATATGGCCCCCTCCTTACTTTCCTTTAAGAAAAAACTCAAACTTTTTTATGTTCCCAAACATATAATGAGGAAGAGGGATCAATCCCAGAGCACGGATTAACCAGAATGGAAATGGAATTGGTATGACACTCTACCTTGGATGGCTTTTAATTGTTATTATTTAATATAATTGCTTATTTTAATTTAGTGTATAATGTTTAATATTGTTCTTTGTTTACATTTTGATGGTTTTCATCTTATATAGGCATTGAATGTTTACCTGTTGTATTGGAATCTGCCCTGAGTCCCCACTGGGAGATAGAGCGAGATACAGATAAAGTTTTATTATTATTTTTTATTATTATAGAGAGGACTACACTTTCTGAAGTGTGATTCTCCTCTTAAAAACTTATATACCAGCCACAAGTTCTTGTTTCCCTGTGGAATGATGTTTGAATTTGACAACTTGCTGCAGAAGCTGTGGAAATGGCTGGGGGAGCACATCCTGTTGACTGCTGTTGCACAGTTCAGGGAATCTAAGATGATGAACTCAGCCACAGTTTTATATTGTAGCAGCACCTGCATCGGCATGTGTAATGAGAATGCTAAAGCATGGCCCCTATTACTGTGTGGCAAAATAAAGTAAATCTCCGTTTCCTATACCCTCACGCCAAAGTTGCCATCTGGCCTGTTTCTGACCAGTCTGTTGCTGAATTCCTAGCATGATGCCATTCTAACAAGGCACCTTTCTCATCAATGTCTAACAAATTATCCAAGCTGCAACAGTATTGTCCCCAGACTCGCAGCCTATCAGCAATGCAGCTATAGTCACATGATTAATCTTCTAATTACAGTGATATGGGACGGGAGGCTTCAGCACATTCAAATGGCACCTTGTGTGACTTCTGCTATAGGCTCCTCTCATAACTGATGTGAACCTACTTTTTCTTGAAACACCACACAGGACTGACTTGCCTCAAATTCTAGCACCTTGCTCTTTAAAGGAACATGGGAGGCCTCTCTATATTACAGCACTTCCTGAGGCACACACTAATCTCCTGTAGCAAACTTATCTGCCACCTGAAGTGTGAATTGGCCCTGTCATCACAGGAAGCCTGTTTTGGCAACTGCATTGCAAGCAAGCAAGCACACACAAGATACCTACTGCAAATGAATGGACGGAGCCCTGTACACTTTATTTGGGTGGGGACAAGAGCAGGCACTGCCAAATTCCAACAGCATAAAGTCAACCCTTCCTTTTATTCAGCTTGGAACATGTGTATTTCAGGAACTCGGAGCACCGGGATATTTTTGACAGATATTACTTTGTTTTGTTTACAGATGGGCTCCTGGTGTCTCTCACACACAATTTAGAGTCTATTTCCAGAGCACACAGGATCACATTCTCAATAATGTGAGTGCCTTTGCCTGAATTAGGAGCTTAAGCACTACATGACACAAATTGCTAGACACCATTTTGTTTCTGGAAGAGACATTTAAGATACTGGGTCTGACAATTTGGAATGTGAAGACTGTTTCAGAAAGGCTACAGAACTTCCTGTGGCAACATAATCCCAAAAAGAGTCAGAATGAGCTACAATCCATCCCAGGGTTTAGGCAATATCTGCTACTGAGAATGTATGGTGATGACAATGTTGGCGCTATAATGCAAATATATTCCTCCTTACATTAAGTTTCCATCTTGTCTTCCAACAAATTATTGTGCTGAATTGGTTTGCTATCATGAGTTTCTAAACCTGTTTCCATTCTGGTCCCTGCCAAAGTAATGCAAACTATAGCCAGAGTGAAGGAAACCTTGCTGTAAACTGCATTTATTTAAAGCTATGATGATGCTACCGAGGACACTGAAAAAGAATGCACTGCATATAGTACTGAGCTTAAAAACAATCTTTTAGCGGCAAGAAAGCACTGTTCTGCTTACATCTTTGCAAGGTGATATATGTTCTGCAGTAGCAATACACTTTTATGGATACAGGCCATCCCTAGACGAAGTGGAGAGCATATAAGCAGTACCGTAAATCATCTCTTAGTGGTGATCACTTGCAGTTTGCATAGCTTTCAGCTTGCTTGGAAAGGATTCAAACTTTCTCTATCTTAATGAGGGATAGTGCCACATGAAAAACAGCTCGGTGCCACAATGACTCACCGAGTAAAAAGCCTGGCATGAACAGAATGAGGCATCACTTCTGACTGGCAAAACAGGGTTCTCTTCGTATCTGCCATTAACTTCATTTTCCTTCTGGAACTCATTGCAAAACTACAGCTCCTCTCAAACACAGGCCACAGCTGTGCCAGAAAACTGCAGCCATCATTCATCAGTGGTGCAGCAGCTCATGGCTTGGGGCTAGGAAGTGCCTACAGGTTCAACCTCCACTCAAAGCAACTGAATCCTGTTCATGCCTGCTGATTTCACAAGGCAGACAAGACCAGGACAAGAAAAATATTACATACTAATGACACACAATACTTGACTGTAAAGAGGGAAAACAACCTTGCATGAACTTGCACAGCAACTTCATTGCCAGCAAGAGCACTGGAAATTACTGTCATACTAATTCAGGTTGCACAGAGACGGTGCTTGTCTTGGGGGTGATTTTCTCTGGAGCTTGTTGACATGGCTCAGTGATCTGTTTCTCTTGTTAAGTTTTCTCCTGCTTTCTCCTACCCAGTCATTCCCTAACCCTATGGTTCAGCACTTTGGGGAGAATGGATCCTACAAACCATAACAACCATCTGCCTTGATATCATATCTTGATTTCTCATAAAGTAGAAATGAATCAGGGCGACGACTATGTATCATAGCAGACCTTCCATCATATACATATTTGAGAATTCTGGTAGTGTTCCACATATGTTTACATATTGCATCAAAGATACAGTAAACCTTTATAGGAAGGAGGGAAAACTGGTTCAATTGATAATATCAAATACACCTAACACATGAAACAAGAACATAAGCTAATGCAGAACATCTCTTCCGAGTTTCAGGTGTCTTCATTTCCTGCAGCATTCCAGCCATTGCACTACCAACCAACAATTTAAAAAATGCAGTGCTTTTTTGGACTATAATTCACAGTACTTTCCAGATAGCATGGACACTGGTATAACTTTCCAAGCTGTGGATCTACAAATTAGATCATTTCTTCAATGACAAGCAACGTGGTCAACAAGATGTTCTATACTCTTACCTTTAAGAATTTGTACAGAAGAAACGTGAACCAATTTGTCAGCATTTTTTCAGCCACTGACTCGGTCCTGTAGGGAAGGCAGAGAGTAAGTTGAATGATAGAGGGGAAAAAACAGTGTCTTCTGATCTTCTCTTGGAAGACTCAGATCTTTTGCTATTTCTCTTAAAGCTTTTAAAGGTCAAACCTTGAAAGGCATAAACCTCAAAGTAAAAAAGAAAGGTACCCAGCATACTAGGGTTGCCATGACAAAATCTAAAGATAGTCTTGGCAACAGCCAACCCCACTTTCCTCCCACAGAGCTCATTAGAGTTAAACCTGGTCTCCTACAAGCCACAGCTATAAAACACAATCAAAGAAACAAAAGTTGACCCAGTCTCTGTCTAGAAATCTCCTGGTTGAAGTAAGAGTACCAAAGAGGGACCAACAGAATTGTCTTATGGTTCAGATAAAAAAATATATGCCTTCTTTAATCCCTGCTTCTCATGCCTAATGGGCTCAATAATCTGCATTTTCGTGTATTCATCAGAGTTTATAAGATTACCCTGTAAATTCCCAACTGCCATTTTGAACAGGCCGTTCTCCTGCTGCTGAAGGGTAAGCATTTAAAAATATCACTGTGCCAACATGAACATATCCTTTCTTGTCTGATTTTAGAAGCTAAAGAGGGCCATGCCTATCAGTAGTTTGTTGGGAGATCATCAGAAATAGGGATTTCAGGTAGGTGTAGAAAATAATCCTGCTTGAAAAGCTATAAAATGCAGCACACAGGTTGGCCAATAATCTGATTCAGTAAAAGACAGCTTCCTGTATTCCTAAAATTTGAACAGAATAGGTATTCTGTGAATAATTTCAGTTGGAAAGTACTCAGAAATGGCTATAAATAATTTATCATGTTATGCTAACAGAATTAACAGGCAGTACAAACAGTAGCAGCCAATAACAACACTACATAGACTGGTATGACATATGCTGTGGCCACTAAGAACTTCATATAGTATCCAGCACAGAACTGTTTGCCTAGAAACATAATCAAAGAAAAATATGAAAAAAAAATAACCAGGGATAAATGAACATTCTCACCCCTTGTTGCTGATAACTACTGTAATATTGATTTTGACTTATTGCCACCTTATGAATGAGACACCACCAAATCATCATATCATCAGTAGCCATGCCCATGTCTTGCATACAGTACAAAAGGCTATCCATCTGTAATGTAGTCTTGCATAGAATTATAACAACATCTAGATACTCCATCCAACAAAAGCAGAAAAGAGCATTTTTCTTCTGTAAAAAGGGTGGTACAAAAACAGCAAGGCAAACAGATAAGCAGACCCCAGAAGCAGAAATTATCTTTCAGAGCATGCTCTAAAGCAGGGGTTGTCAACCACTGATCTCCAGATACTTTGGACCTCAACTTCCCAAACCTGAACATTGCTTATGATGGAGGACTAAAAGTTGACACCCACTATTTCTAATTCAGTTAAGTGATCCCCAGTAAGTAGCCTTAGGTAAGTCATACTCTCTCTAAGAAAGCATGACTTACCTAAGAGGGTGAAAATGGCAAACCTCCTCTGGATAAATATTGCTATGAGAGGATCATCAACATCAGATTAAACCTGAAGGTGCATAAAACAATAGAGAATATTTCTTTTAAGAGAGAGAGTCATGGCAGTCAAGTGACCCTTATGTTTATCTACTGTACACCCAGATACCACAAGAGATTACATACTACAATACATAAACACAAAGTTTCCTTCAAAAGATTAATGTTAAACATGTTAGGCCTGATAATAAAGATGAATTCTGACCTACAAAAAGGGTAACAAGAAAGATGATGATGAGGCAATCCCTGGAATCTGCTATATCAAATCAGTGTTTGTGCAACTGCCTGTGCTTTATTTCTGCTGTTCTATAATATTGAGCCTCCTTTTCCTTTCCAAATTGTTGTCCATGTTAGTACAACATAGTCTAAACTTATAAGGGGAAGTTTCTATTTTATTTATGTCAATCTAAAGTTTTAAACAAATTGAATACCTATTATTTTCCAGGTAGAATTGAATGGGGCTCCCTCTACAAATAAATATCTATCTATCTATCTATCTATCTATCTATCTATCTATCTATCCTTTATTTATATATTTATAGCATTTTTATCCCGCCCTTTTCAGCCCATAGGATATAGCACATATCCATATTTACTCAAGTATAACGCATCATCGAATGTAATGCATGCCCCAAATTTAAAGGTGCACATTATAAAAAATAGATTTGCCATCAAATGTAATGCACCCAACCATGCAGGCATGGCACACCAAGGAGGCAAGCAGCATGAAAGAGGCCACTTGGGAAGCCATGCCCCATTGTGAGGCCAAGGCGGGCAAACTCACTAACCTCTTGCGGCTTCTAACTGGCCTCATTCATGAGGCCTTCAACACTGAGGGAGGTTTGAAGGCCTTGTGAATGAGGCTGGCTGACCCTCACGAGGTGGGTGGGTGAGAGTCCCCGGGGACTGCCTGGGAGACAGAATGCACCTCCAAACTCTGGTCCAGAAGGAAGTGGTAAGGGTGATCTTCCTGCTCCTTTGGCCACAGAGGCCTGAAGGCCCTGCAACCCCCTTGTGGCTAGGCAGCAGGAATGAAAGGGTCACCAGGCATGTGTTCCTTCTCCATGTCTGAGCACCATGGAGCCCTGAGGCTGCTGCTGGGAACATTCTCTTCACCCCACCTCTGTGTCTGGCTTCCAGGTCCCTCCAGGCCTTTTCATGCAGATGAGTTTATGTGCACCATTCAAATGTGCCATCGAAGCTAATGCACACCTCAATTCTGGTGATGTAATTTAGCCAAAAAGGTGAGCATTAGACTCGAGTAAATATGGAAAGTATCTGTCACTATGTCATGACTGAAATGGTGCCAAAATCTAAAGGAAGTAATTATATATTCATGCTAATTTGTTCATCTCCCTCCTTTTTTGTGTATCTCATCTGCCCCATAATCCCTAAACAAGGCTCAGCAAAATAGAGCCCATTTTGACCACATGCACACATCACTGAAAAAAGTTGGCTTTTGTCTTTTTGAGAATTTTGTGGCAAGTGTGAACATTATTTACCAGATGATTATGACTTCCAAGAGGTGTTTCAGAGCACTAATCTTCTTGTATATGAAGTCTGTACTCTTTATATGCCTTGTTTCAGGTCTTTCTTTTCTCCCGTAGCAAAGTTTGGCACAGCCCAATTGTGTTCATGGCAGCTGTTACACACAGGCTGTATGAAATCTGTTTACCTCTGAAAGATTATACTGGCTGCAAAACAAGCTACCCTCAGTCAGCTAACAGGTAAACTATGCCTTTCAAGCTATTGTTGGGTTAACAAACTCTACAATCCCTAACCAATGGCTATGCTGGCTGGGGCTGATGGGAGTTAAAATCCACAGGATCTCCAACTCTGGTCTAAAACATTTTTACAATGTAAGGAACAGTTCTGCTTGACACAGGTACACTGTTAACATCTTAGTTGTGGATCCATTTTATTATGGAGATTCTGCTTTGAATCTCTGGCTCTTTAATCTTCCAAATGACCCAGCATCTGATAAGGAAGCTTAAATATATTTGCTCAATATTCTGTGAGTGTAAATAGTAGCTTTTATTGAGTCCTGGCTAAGTATGTTAAGGCTGGATTGTCAACGGAGAATGAAGAGCACAGTGACAGATACTGTGGTGAACATTAAATAATAGTTCGTGTTCTGCAGCTGGTGTATCTTTCAATATTCATTGGCCTGTGATAGAGGAGACCTATCTAGCCACCGTTTAAAAATTGATGGAGCAGAGCAGATGCACAGCAGAGCTGGAATGCTGCCCCTGGCTCACACTCTTCCTCTACCTATGTGAGATCCTTTGCTCAGGGAAATGTGCTTGAATTACACATTAAGATACCCTCATGATCACTGGGGTGAGTATGCATGGATTAGTCCTGAAGAACCAGTTGGGGAAAAATGACAAAGAAAGGAAACATATTAAGTAAACACAGAGAATGTGTCCCTATAGCCCTGTGGGAGAATGAAGTGCCTGACAACCAAAATGTCATGTTGAAAGTTCGTTCCAGAGGCAAGAGGGGTTCTTGGCAAAGTTTGCCCTTCACAGTCCTGAGCATTAATCAGGAACATTGAGGGAGGAGGTTGTAAAAACTCAATGCTGAGACAGGTAGACTGCTGGTAGGTAAACATGAAGGCTGGCAATGAATGGCTGCTACTAGCAGCTGTGCAAGGAGATGGAAAACAATGTAGCTGTAGTGAGAAGAGGAACATGCTGGCAGAAGTCTATATCAAAATCTCAATGAAAAGTAGTTTTAATTAACTAAGCAGCTGCCATTTCTAGCACTCATAGAATTAAAAGTGGTGCCAGCAATAGAGAGCAACTCTTCTCAGACTTAGCAGGCATGGATATCAATCTAGTTTAGGAATAAACAACAGCTTTCACAGCAAGAGCCATTCCCCTGTGGTTTTGCCTATGAAACTATGCATGAGACTCATTTTTGGGATAGGAACCCACCTTTGGCTTCCCAGGTTTTAGCATACACTGTCCACAAATTTTCAAATCCACTTTTCTATTCTTAAAGGCTAGAAAACTCTTTAAATATATTAGCAAAAGGAAAACAATTATTGCTGAGGTTTCTGTCCATAAATAATTTCTCTATCCATAAGATGAAGCGCAAACATCTGCTTATAGAGAAAACAATCCATGATCCAATCATCACCAAGGAAAGATCCGGAAAACTCACAGCAACCCAAAAGATCCTTGTTTTTTTTGTACATATTGAATGTCTATACATAATGATGGTGACTCCCTTGCTATATAGACAGAGTTAATTAAACTGTTGACAGCCTAGAGTACTACTGAGGTCAAGGAGGTCTGTGAGTGCAGTTCCACTCACATACAAGAACTATAAAAGGGAGAAGTGAGATTCTTCTACATTTCCTTTCCCAAATCTACCCTTTTTATGCAATAACAAAGCAACAGAGGAGAAAAGTCCTGAACATTTTGATGCAACTTGATTAAGAGGATTTTATATGATTTTGAAAAAGCTTGTTTTATTTGTTTTGATTTGCTGTAGACTGCCTTGGGGGCCCTGGTGAGCTGAGAGGCAATAAACAAATACTTATATTAGATGAAATAAATAATCATGACTACTCACCGTCTTAGAAGCAACTTGGGGTGGTTTTTGCTTTCCAAATTCTTTTCAATCAGGTCTGAAAGGAGCTGCTTGAGCACTCCAGTGGCATACTCCATCTCACCCTGCAGGGCCGTCATGATTAAAGAGGCCACATTGCCCCGGTCCCTCATGGAGAAGCTGCGCTGTGCCTCCAGGGTGCGAATGAAGGTCAGGAGGAAGTGTTTTTTGTTCAAGAGCTGACCAAAGAGGGTCAAGGACTTCTCCACATTTGCCTGGACCTGAGGGAGGACACATCTGATTAAAGTCAAGCCCAGAATATTATAGAGCTGGCAGAAATATCTTAAGAGTCTTTTGATGGTTTCAGTGAGATCACAAAAGGCTATGTACATGGTCAAGCCTACTGCATAGGGCATTGCAATATAGAGAAAGCGAAAGCTTCAGGTGGTCATCAGGGAATTCTTCCTTAATGTTTACCATTAAGGAAAATTACCATCTTGTAATTTGAGTCCACTGGTGTGGGTCTCTTAAAAAGTCCCTAGCAGTTCTACCTATTGAGTATACTTCACACCATCTTTATCAAGGACATCTCTTCTCGAGGTGATCTTTCCTTGGGGTTACTTTATACTTATACTTTTTACTGCCATTTCATAAAGTTGGAAACTTGTTACTTTTTATTCTGGGATAATCTTTCCTACTGTGCACATAGAATCTTAGACACTGAAGAAATTGAATATTTCATAGCTTTCAGTGGAAATTCATAGGACTATCCCACTACGGAAGGTTTTCTGCAAATATTGGGATTCCTGATTACTTGATCTTGTTTCAGGAGCAGCACTGACGTTGTAGCACAACCCATGAAAAAGTCCTGATGTAACTGAAGCCTCAAGATTAATTTCTGGACCAGTTTTCAGTGCGCGTAGATACTTATGTTTATTAGAAAAAGTAAATGGAAGATAAAACCCAGACTCTGGGGCAATGTACACTTGAAGCAGTTTGGATCCCTTACTCAGTAGATGGAAAGGGAATCAGGACCAGGGACATCCATACACAGCTAGGCCTCTAGATCTCCAAAAATAGCTGTGGATAGTGCAGAGAAGCAGGCTGAGAGGGCATACTTTGGGATCAGTTGTCACTGTTGGTTGCTATAAATCTGACTTTGACTTTGGCAACCATATGAATGAGAGACCTCAAATCACCTGTCATCAACTGTCCTGTTCAGAAATTGGAAATGCAACTTTTTTACAGGTTTAACCACCTGTAATAAAGGGCCTTCCTCTTTTCCTGATGCCTTTCAACTTGCTAAGTATTGTTGCCTTTTCTAGTTTTCTCATGGTATCTCCAAAGTATGACTGTCTCCATTTAGTCATCTTTGCATCTAGGGAGTGTTCAGGCTTGATCTGCCCAGGAGTCATTCATTTGTCTTTTTAGAAGTCCACAGTATCTGGAGAACTCTTCTCCAGCACCACATTTCAAATGAAATTGTTTTCTTCCTATTAGCCTTCTTCATTTTCCAACTTTCACAATGATACATAGAAACTGGAAATACAATGACACAAATAATCCTGACTTTAGTAGGCAATGAAAGTTGAAATTCTTATCTAGTTCCTTCAGAGATGCCTCTTCAACAGGGCTGGGATCGGTTTATTCTCAAACTTCACGGAGGAAAAGAGAGAACCCAATTAGCCAAATACAAATGAGATTTTGGAAATAGAAAATTCATTCTTTGCCATTCAATGGCCTGTTGGGACCTGCAGATCTAGTGCCAAATACACATATACAAACACCAATCTTATTTTTCTAACATTTTCATTTCACCACGTGACACTTGTCTCACGGCAGATATGTGCTTATTTTCCCTAAATAAGAAGAGTTGCCAAAATACTGGATCTGGCCAGAGACTAACTGCCAGATTTCTCCTAGCTACATCTGAGCACAGCAGACGACTCTTGCAGGAAATTGTGATCTTCTGAACTTTCTGCATATGGTCCTAAATATTACCGTCTGTCCGTACAATTAATGATGGCATTTGCAGCAAACTTGTTTCATTGGTTTTTATAATCCAGTAGAGAACTTTCCCTCCATGTCCATATATATATCTTCTTCCTGAGTGGACTACTACACAGCCCTTAGATTTTACTGCTCACAGCTACTCAATAAGTGTCCCCGGTGGCGCAGTGGGTTAAACCCCTGTGCTGGCAGCACTGAAGACCGACAGGTCGCAGGTTCGAATCCGGGGAGAGGCAGATGAGCTCCCCCTATCAGCTCCAGCTCCTCATGCGGGGACATGAGAGAAGCCTCCCACAAGGATGACAAAACATCAAAATCATCCGGGCATCCCCTGGGCAACGTCCTTGCAGACGGCCAATTCTCTCGCAACAGGATGCTCCTGACACGACAAAAAAAAAAAAAGCTACTCAATGTCCACTTCTGTCCAGGCTGGATTGCAAGACTCTCCAAACATGAAGCAGAAGCCGAACTGCCTTTAAATCAGAACTAGGCAAACAATCTCACCCCATGTTGTTGGACTGCAGCTCCTAGCAGCACTTGACAACATTACCAGTTGCAAGGCATGCTGGGAGTTGTAGTCCAATTCACCACCCCTACTTTAAATATTGCTCTTTGTTGGTATCCAGCTGCAAATATCTATCCAAAATTTTCCAGACTACATGCCTGCAAATTTTATCCAAAGTTGACATAAAGTAAAAGAGATGTGAGCATTCCCATAAAAAATCCCTGGACTTGAAAAGCAGCTAGCAAAAAAATAAAATAAAAAATCCTTGCACCTTTTGTCCAATATTTGGCAGGCTTAATCCATTCAAAAGGGTCTTCCTTTCCAATACTACAGTTGAAAATTTCACCCAGCTTTTTCAGGGGGAAAAGTCTGTGGTCATGATATGATTTCTTCTCGACAACTTAATGGGGAAACACATAAAGCTTTGGATGCAATTCCTTTTCAGCTACAAAATAAGTACTTCACACACTCCAAGCTAAATCATTTCATTTCTGAAGAATCAAAGGAAGAGCCAAATATATCATTGTCTTCTTTGAACAGCCCTAACTCTCTGTTACATTTATAAACATCTTAACCTTTTCCTTGTCCAATTGAAATTGCTTCTCGGCATTGCTTCCTCGCCCTGCTAAGAAAATGCAGAGTTCAGAAAAAAGGGGGGCTCAGAAAAAGTACTTTTTGAACCTCGGGAATCTTCTACCCATCATGGACTTTCTTGTTGTTCAGAACTATGCCAAGCATAGAACAAAGAGACACGAGAATGAAATAAGTTGTGTTGTCGAAGGTTTTCATGGCCGGAATCACTCGGTTGCTGTGAGTTTTCAGGGATTTATTGCCATGTTCCAGAAGCATTCTCTCCTGACGTTTCACCCACATCTATGACAGGTATCCTCAGAGGTTGTGAGGTCATTTGCAATAATTAGCATGAAACTCTTAAAAATACTTTCCAATGAAGCTGAAAAATAGACACAAAGTTACATTGAACTGGAGTCAGACCTCACAACCTCTGAGAATGCCTTCCATAGATGTAGGTGAAACGTCAAGAGAGAATGATTCTGAAACATGGCGATACAGCCCGGAAAACTCACAGCAACCCAATGAAATAAGCTGTTTGGGGAAAATTTACCAGTAGCTGTTTTGGTAGTTCCTGATCAGGACGTGAACACACAGACTCTAATGCTCATCTAATCTCACAGACGGCTTTGTCTAAGGGTACTGACTAATTTCAATTAGCAAAATTTAGCATATTCCTTTGCTCAATCAGAAGCCATTAATGTGGCACATCCTTACATGGGTTGTATGGTCCACAAAGTTAGCAACACTTGCTGAGCTTGGAAATGGATCCTGTCTTTGCCTAAGCAATATGGTCTAAATAACAAATAGAGCAATGATGGTGGTGGCTTCAACAGCAGAAGTGCAAAACATCTGCCACATAAATAATCTCAGCAGGCTTGGCTTATTATTTGCTACTCTGAAGGCAATGAAGCAAAGTCTCTCTTCCAAACAGGCACCCTCTCGTTTTTATTTGCCACATCCCTCTCCCATTCATTTGCAGTTGTACTCCTCTTTTGTGAACATGAGCAGAAGCAAATGAATAATAAAGGATTAAATATTTAACCAAGCTTTACATTTGCACAAAATGATGCACTGCAGCCTCAAACCCCAAGGAGAAGAAGAGCTGCTAATGGCTGCACTTGCATTTGGCTCTGCATGAGCATTTTTGCCTGCATGTGCATGTAGTTGGGAGTGGGAAGAGAGGGGGGAGATCAGACATTCTTTCCTAGTCATTTGCAATAGCTAGCATTAAACTCTTCAAATACTTTCCAATTAAGCTGACAAATAGACACAAACCTACACTGAATTGGGAGTCTGAACATTGTAATTGTTTTTAATATATATATATATATATAGGTGTTTCCTCTCCTGTAGTTTCATTCTCCCAACCAAACATAAATGGGTTCTCTGGAATTAAGGCTATGTGGGAAGAGGCCCTTTATGCCCTTTGTTTAATTAGCTCTCAGACCCTACAGATGATTACCAGCTGCAATTTATATTTCGAAGGTCTGCCAAATCTAACCAAAATAGGATTGTTCCCATTCCTTCTTCCAAAAGACTGACCGACACTCTAATGGAAAACCATATTAATTCATCCCAATTTTATCCTCTAAAGAATATATATATTTAAAAATGAAATAAATGGGGGGGGGGAAGCAAAAGCACAGAAAATGTGATAAGGTAAGTCAGATCCAAGCATGGATCATTTTGGCGTGGAATGACAAAGTCATTCACTTTGTCATGTCATGCTGAGATGTTTCATGCATGGACATCTTCTTACAGTGAATGCAATCATTGTTATGAGCAATTGATGGCTGTAGTTTTTATTGTCCAGAAGACTGGAGACGTGTGCATAGAACTACTAATGCATTGATTAATATCTAGAGGTGTGACTCATTTGGAAAGCACACTAAATCCCAATAAGAGGAAATATGGATATACAAGAATGTTCTGATAATGGGAGCGCTGTTCTCCAGAGCTTTCTGTTTGATAGTACTTGGAAGTTTATGGTTTCAGTTGTTCCTTTTCCACCATATTCTCATACTACTAATTTAAAGTCCCCCTTTCCTGGCTGTGATGTGTCACCCCCCCCCCCCCCCCCCCCCCCCCCCCGGTAATTAAGGAGGTAATGACAGGCAAAGTGTGATCACAACAAAATAGCTGCCAGAAGCCTGAAACACAGATGGGCCAAAAACCTCCAAAACATTACAGGGA